ACAGGCTTAAAAAAAATTAATTAAAAAGAAGCTCTGTCCAGGGAAACCCGGACACGTGGTGGTAAAGTTTGTTGCTGAAATATGTTGTAATTCTGGGGAACACCTGAAAACTAAGTCTTCAGAAACGATGAAGGACTGACCATTGGTGTTCAATAACTACAGTCTGAGTGTCCCTCTTCAACAGGAAGGAAGCCGTTACATATGAACAGCCACATTGGGTCAGACCAAAGGTCCATCTAGCCCAGTATCCTGTCTGCCGACAGTGGCCAATACCAGATGCCCCAGAGGGAGGGAACACAACAGGGAGTCCTCACACGTGATCCCTCCCCGGTCACCCAAAGAAATTTACAATTCATCAAAAGAACAGGGTGGACCTCACTGATGAAGTTGCCTGACCTCATGAATCAGTGAAGACTTTTCGGCTACGTCTACACTGGCATGATTTTCCGAAAATGCTTTTAACGGAAAAGTTTTCCGTTAAAAGCATTTTCGGAAAAGCACATCTAGATGGGCAGGATGCTTTTTTGCGGAAAAGCGTCCGTGGCCAATCTAGACGCGGTTTTCCGGAAAAAAGCCCCGATCGCCATTTTCGCCACCGGGGCTTTTTTGCGGAAAACAGTACTATGCTGTTTACACTGGCCCTCTTGCGCAAATGATTTGCGCAAGAGGGCTTTTGCCCGAACGGGAGCAGCACAGTATTTCTGCAAGAACACGGACGCTCTTACATGAGATCGTCAGTGTTCTTGCGGAAATTCAAGCGGCCAGTGTAGACAGCTGGCAAGTTTTTCTGCAAAGTCAGATGATTTTGCGGAAAAACTTGCCAGTCTAGACACAGCCTTCTGGTATAAAGAGGACGAGAGGGAGGCGGGGGAGTTCTCTGGCTATCTCTATCCCCCCTCTATCTCGTCTCAGCACAGCAAAATCACTTGAAAGACAATAGATCGCTGAGTTGGGGGGAGTGGTCCTATCTGGAAGGCTTTCCAAAGAGTTTGGGTCACAAAAATTGCGTGAGAGAAGCCCTTTTGCTTGTGAGGGTACATCTGTGTGCCAAATCTAAGTGGACCTATATGAGGTTGATTTACAGCTGCTACAGTAATTCCGGTGGTCAAAGTACTGCAGGGGGTACCTCTTGATGGTGCTGCAGGCACTGGTGGATTCACCAATGTCCGTGTGGAATGGTTGGGAAGGGTGCATGATGTGCATAGCTTTAGACACTCCCGCCTCTGCAGAAAGATGTGCACGGGAACTTTTACCAGACTGGAAAATCGGAATCGGATCCTCAGCAACCCAGCCTATCCCCTTGCTCTCATGGCAGCCTGGACTGCAGTACGGGAGCAATTCAGCTGCAGGCTGACCAAGAGTAGGATGGTGCTTGAGTGTGCTTGGAGGTGTTTAAAAGGAAGGTTTAGGATCTGCTGGTTAGGTTGGACCTCAGAAAAGGCAATATTCCCTTTATGGTGTCAGCCTGTTGTGTGCTCCATAATCTTTGAGAGCACAAGAGGAAAAGTTATCTGGCAGGGGGTGTGTCTGCGGAGGGGGTGGGGTGCTGCAGCACAGCACCTAAGCAGATTTTGAGCAGCCAGGCACCAGGGCGATAAGGGGGGCAGTGCAAATCAGAGAGGCTTTGGAAGAAAGTTTTATAAATGGTCCATTTTGAGAGTGATTCACTTTGCTCTCAACAAGGTGCTCCGTATTCAGTGGGTTTGCCTGCAATCCCCCACCTCCTCCTGCCATTTGAGCAACAAAGAAGCTGTTGCTCGGAGACTGTGCATTTTTATTTAGGGAAGACAGC